GAATAGTCTTGAATTTGATGTTGATATATATGTTTAATTTGAGTTTAATATTCGGGCGTAACATCAATAAAAATAGTATGAGAGTTTTTTTTAAAGTTTATTTATTTAAAATCCATACGTTTCGGCTAGCATGTTAGCCATCATTCAGTGGTAACCAAATTAACTATAAAAATTGAAACTAAATAAATTATATGAAAGAAAATTTCATGGAAAACAAGAATAACTAGTGGGGTGGGTGGCATCGTGCCTTAAGGCAAATTGCTGGAACTTCCCGTACCGTAACGAAACGTTCGAGGAATATTGAATGTTTTCAAATAGATTATTATAAATATTGTATTATTGTCTAATATTTATAATAATTATATAAACTGAATTGCAGAGTTGAAATTATTTGTTTAAAGTATATTAGAACTATAGTCAGAATTAAAAATAAAATCTGAATTATTTTCGATATACAAAAAATTAAAAAAAAAAAAAAAAAAAAAAAAAATGGTACTAAATTTTTTTTTTCCAAAATTAATTATTTTGTTAAGACAAGCAGAAAGTTCTTTGAATCAATTTAATCGGACGCTTAGTTCTCTCAAAAACTGCCATTTTTTGTACATTTAGCTCTGTATCTCCGAAATGGCTGGGCCTGCCTTTGCGAAAAACTAATAACCTTTTCTCCCAATCATTACTAATGGAATGTTTTTTAGATCATTCAAATCGGATGCTCCGTTCTCTCAAAAACTCGATTTCTATTTTCTGCACTCTTTGCTCCTTATCTCCGTAACTGCTGGACCTGTCTTTGCCAAAAACTAATCAGCTCTTCTCCTTATTAATAGGAATCGAATGTTTTTTAAACCATTCAAATCGGTTGATCCGTACGCCCGAAAACGTGGACGAAAATTTGTATCCATACATACATACACACACACACACACACACACACACACACACACACACATCCATTTTTTCTGAGGTATGCCAAAACGTTCAGAAACCTTCAAAACGTCGAGAAATGTAAAAATTTTCAATTCCGATTTTCGGCCCATTACAATAACTTACCCTACGGGAAGTTAATAATAATAATAATAATAATAAAACACTTACAATTTTGTATCCTAATATAGCATATGAAACCATTATTAATCCATGGTATGAGTATGTGCACATTGATAAGATATATATTAGGTTGTCAAATATCTCCCTTCCGCTTTTTTGCTATTGGTTTATATTGGTTTATAATACAAAAAGGCGGAAGGGAGATATTTGACAACCTAATATTTTTTGACATCACAAATGGTAGAACACACTAATGACCATGATAACTTAACAAGTTGTCGAAACTATGTATTTACTCTTCGGTGTTTAAGATAGAAATGTCACATTTTTCTCAAAGCAGTTTTTAGCATGTGTTAACATTTTTTTTTTAAATTTAAAATGCGACAGCATTTGTCATTTTTTAAGAAATTTTCACACGCTATTAAGAAACCACGTGTTTGTTTCGTTCAGGGCCGTATTGTCGAAGCGTTTGTTTATGACCCTGTCGTTATGTAATTGCAAAAACAATACATAAAAATAATAACAACTCAAAAAATCCTAAACAATTTAAAACGATGTTAACTGATCATATTAAAAATTTAAATCATAATATCGATTTTTTCAACCCTAAAATTTTACATTTTGAAGAGAACATAATTAAAAGAAGATTTGCTGAGTATATATATATATATATATATATATATATATATATATATATATATATATATATATATATATATATATACATAATTCTTCTTTTGCAGGTTTTTCCATAATTTTTTTTCAAAACGTTTTGGCCGAATTTGCGGGATTTTTATGCTTAATTAATAGGTCTGAGTAAAGGTGAAAATCACTCATACCACATCCGTTTAGCCGAAGGAATATATAGCTTTAACTTCCCGTAGGGTATGTTATTGTAATCGTCCAAAAATCGAAATTGAAAATTTTTACATTTCTTCACGATTTGAAGGTTTCTGAACATTTTGGCATATCTCAGAAAAAATGAATGTGTGTGTATGTATGTATGGATACAATTTTTCGTTCACGTTTTCGGGCGCACGGATCAACCGATTTGGATTGTTCAAAAAACATTCGATTCCTATTGATAGGGAGATGTGCTGATTAGTTTTTGACAGAGGCAGGTCCAGCCGTTTTGGAGATACGGAGCAAAAAGTACCGAAAATAGAAATCGAGTTTTTAAGAGATCGGAGCATCCGATTTGAATGATCCAAAAAACATTCAATTCGTACTGATGGGTAGAACTAGTAATTAGTTTTTGGCATAGGCAGGCCAGAGGTTTCAGAGATACAAAGTTAAATGTGCAAAAAATGGCAGTTTTTGAATGAGCTAAGCGTCCGATTTGAATGTTTCAAAGAACTTTCTGCTTGTTTTAACAAAATAATTGCTTTTGGAAAAAAAATTTTTTGTTTTATTTTTTTTCAAACGATTTTTTTTTTGTATATCGAAAATAATTCAGATTTTAACTGTAAATTCTGATTAAGATCTAATATACTTTAAACAAATATTTTCAACTTTGCAATTCAGTTAATATAAATCTTTATTTAATTCTATAAATATTAGACAATGTTACAGAATTTATAATAATCGATATGAAAACATTCAATATTTCTCGAACATATTTCGTTATGGTACGGGAAGTTCGAGCAATTTGGGTTAAAGCACGATCATACACACCACTAATTTAAATTTTTATATGGTGCAAAAATGTATATGAATAATAAATGTGGATGTTAACCACAATTTGTGAATTACTAAAATGTTTACAATATCTTAGAATTTGTTTGTAAAAAATAACGTTTTAAAATGGCCTTTCTTGTTCGCGATACAGAGGGAGATATGTGTTCTCAAAAGTTTTGCATAACACGTGATGTCTTTTCAAACTGTATCTTGTTAATTTTTGCTTTGATTGATTCTTTTACGGATGGTTCGCGGAGTTTAATGTTTTCTATGTTATATAGTTCTAAAACCGTAATTAAACATTCAAATAATAAAAATAATCTATAATTAATAAAAGTCGATAATTTATTTAAATATAGCTATAAGCTGCCATAAAGTATTTATGATTAAGTTATGTATTGAAACTAGTTATAAGTGTTTGCCTTAAGGCTGATATGTGTAAATGCTTGACTTAATCATAAAAAATAATTAAATTTAAGCGTGATTTATAAGTACTCCGAGTGGATTTATTACACATTATTGAAAATCGAACACATGTCTAATACACAAGTCTAAACTCGGAGAATTTTCTAAAAGCAAATATTCAAAATTCAATAAATGTGTATAATTGGATTAGTTGCGTATGATTATAATGGTTTAGCAAGTTTATTAAGACAAGGTACTATATCGACATACCAAGAAAAATGCTCAATTTTAACAAACATCATGAAAACGCTGCTATTTTTTTATATATGATGGTAGAGTCTTGGGTTTGTAACTATTTTGTAGAGCTTCGAACAAAGAATACAAAATGTAATAAAATAACAAAAAACTTTTTTAAAATACTATTTCTTTATTTATTTACTGTCGGCGTTTCGGAAATAGGTACGTTCCATCTTCAGGACATCTGTAGAGAAACATGATCTTGATAAGATTTAAACAAACAACATATTTAAGAAAAGTAGCAAATGATGGATTTTTTTTTATATAAAATGAATGAAATTGTAGAACAAATGACATCAAAAAGACATGACAATATAATCAAAATAAAAATTATACTAATAAATGGGAGGATTAATAGCAAAATATTAGAAATGTCAGCAAATTAGAAAGGTTTCTTTAAAAAAAGGTTAGTATATATATATATATATATATATATATATATATATATGAGTAAGTTCTTCAAATATATATATATATATATATATATATATATATATATATGAGTAAGTTCTTCAAATATATATATATATATATATATATATATATATATATATTAAATTTTTTGTATAATTTTGATGTTGAAATATGTGATATTCAGTTTTCAGGGCAATACATCAATTAAAAAATTTGTATGACTTTAAAACGTTTTTATTTTTTCCATACGTTTCGACACATAGTTTTGTGTCATCTTCAGTGGACTTTGTAATTGTAATAATCCTAATTATTTCCTAATTATAATTGTTCACAATGCACAATGAAACCAATTCTTGTCACTTTAAATGTAACAATAATAAATTTTTTGAATGAGTTATTTTATGAATTTGTAAAATACATCCCGCTATACTGTATTAGCGGGATGTATTTTACAAATTCATAAAATAACTCATTCAAAAAATTTATTATTGTTACATTTAAAGTGACAAGAATTGGTTTCATTGTGCATTGTGAACAATTATAATTAGGAAATAATTAGGATTATTACAATTACATAGTCCACTGAAGATGACACAAAACTATGTGTCGAAACGTATGGAAAAAATAAAAACGTTTTAAAGTCATACAAATTTTTTAATTGATGTATTGCCCTGAAAACTGAATATCATATATATATATATATATATATATATATATATATATATTATATATGCATTGAATATATATCATAAAGTACTGATATTTCGTTACACAATATATTCTGAAATGAAAAAAAAAATCAGTCGTATGTTCACTTGCAATAAAAAGGTCAAGGTGAAAAGAACGTTTGCTTCCTTTGGCTAATAGAAGTCAATGCGTGTATATACATATTTGTCGATATTATCAATTATAGCAACAGTGCTGTATTGAGCTTCAGAGAGTACGGACGAATAATGCAATTACCTTTGCGATAGAATTTATTATTGACTTGTGTAATAAGTCTGAAAATACATCGTTTATTTATGAAATATATATATATATATGTGTATATATACATATATATAAATACATATATACATGTATATATTTTAATTTTAAAACTAATATTTTTAATGTGTTATGTCAAGAAAGAACAAAGTGAAAATATAACCTTGTTTTGCTAGTGGACGGTTGTGAAGTAAAAACAAATTTGAATGTTGTGTATAGTGATTGATGTCACACAATACGACAGCAGTGATACACAGAATGTGCTTGGATATAAAAAAGTAACTTACTTCCATTAACGGTTATTCTACCCAGTGAATATAAAATGGTAATACGAAGTCCAGTGTTGTGTCGCCAAATTTTAATAAACCATCGTAAGTTGAACAAACGCATTACTGAACAAAATAGATCATTTATATCAGAATCGGTAGTAACTAGTGGTGCAACTCCTTGTATTGATACAGTGGCCCAAAGAATTGAAGAAGAATCAATCAAATACGCAGCAATACAAAGTAATGACTTACGCGTTCGTCTCGCACAGCCGCATATGCTTCAACCCAAGCCAGAAGCAAGTGATTTAGTATTCGGAAAAAATTTCACTGATCACATGCTAAAAATATATTATCATCATCATTTAGGAGGATGGCAGAAACCTGAAATAACACCAATAGAACCAATACCACTTCATCCTGCAGCCAAAGTTCTACATTACGCTGTTGAAATTTTTGAGGGTATGAAGGCCTATAGGGGAATTGATTGCAAAATTCGCCTCTTTCGTCCTGATTTAAATATGAAACGTATGAATGTTTCTGCGCAAAGAACTGGACTGCCATTGTTTGATGGAGATGAATTCATAAAATGTTTAAGCCGATTAATTAACATTGATCAAGAATGGGTTCCACATATCGAAAATGCAAGTCTTTACATACGGCCGACAATGATAGGCATAGATCCTGTGCTAGGAGTATATTATCCCCGATCAGCTCTACTTTTTGCAATTTTATGTCCTGTTGGTTCCTATTTTAAACAAGGAAGTGCAATTTCATTATTGGCAGATCCACGTTATGCACGAGCATGGCCAGGTGGAAGCGGAGACACAAAAACAGGCGCTAATTATGGACCAACAATTTGGCCGCAGCGAATTGCTTCAGAAAGCAAACTTGATCAAATTTTATGGCTTTTCGGGGAAGACCATCAATTGACTGAAGTAGGAACAATGAATATATTCATGGTATATCTCAACAAAGAAGGAGAGAAAGTACTTATAACGCCGCCATTAAACGGTTTAATATTGCCAGGAATTACAAGAAAAGCCATACTTGAATTGGCATGCGATATTAGCGATGTAAAAGTATGTGAAAAGACATTCAATATGAAATTTTTATTGGATCTTTTGGAAGAAAATAGATTATTAGAATTATTTGGCGCTGGAACAGCAGTTATAGTTACACCGATCGAATCCATTGTTTATTTAGGAAAAAAATATAGACTGCCGACTCTGGAAACACCAAATCCATTATATGTTGCTTTAAAAACAAAGCTAGAAGATATTCAATATGGGAGAATTGAACATCCTTGGGCTACAGTTATTCAAAGCTAATTTTATAATGTAAACAAAATTAAACACCATAGTTTTATGAATTTCTAAGAATTATTATTAATTTTATTATAATTGCTATAGAGGCAATGTGTGATTTTAATCAATTTTCTTATGTGCCAATAAAATTTAAATAAAGGCTCACTAATTTTAGGCATGTAAACTATGGCATTGTATATATATATATATATATATATATATATATATATAAGTTAAAGTGTAATATACATATATATACATAGCAGTTAAGGTGTAAACTTTGAAATTTAGACCGCACAGAATAAGTGACATGTAAATATATATATATATATATATATATATATATATATATATATATATCTTACACATAAAATTCTTCTGTAGTGATGTATATAAATATACATAATATACTCCTCCTAAACGATTATTCGGACTTTGATAAATCTTTCTTTTCCTTAAAGGAATTTTTTAGGATGTATGTGATTATAAAAATATAGTAATATTGTAAAAAAATGGCAACTACATGTCATTGTTTCACATTGAAAATATTTGAGACATTGTTTGGCATTGAAAATAAATGAAAACTGTCATCTGCCAAAAATTTCTTATGAGCTTAGACAATATTAGAATATGTATAATAAATTTTTGATTATAAATAAGAAGTGATTTGACAAATTAATTTACTTAAAATATGGAATTAAGTAATAATCAGGGCCGGTCCTACTTTTAATGCGATACATGCAAAAATACGAGCGCATGTCTTAGGGGGCGCTAACACAAGATTCGGATATGAAATATTCAATATAGTTTTTTCTTTTTCAATATAATTTAAGAAAAATATCATTTCTACGCATCTTTAACTGATCCTTGCACAATATTTTCAAAGTACGTTAAAAATTTCACTTTAAAACAGCAAATGGGAAGGTAAAGATGAATACATACAAGTCGCCCTTATGGTATCAATTAGGAGAAGTTTAAGACGCAATTTTGAAAATTTTAAGTAATAAAAACAAATAATTAAAATAATTCAACACCTCATGTTATGGTAATGTTAGTATGCCAGTGTTATGTTATGGTAATGTTTAATAATGAAAGGCTAGATTTTTTTGCTCTCTATGATTTGCTCAATAGAATAAATCGCATAAAATGCCCAATATAAATAAGTGAAATGATACAAAAGCCAAATATTAATTAATGATAATAATTTTAATAATAAACTGTTAAAACAGATAAAATAGTAAAGAGGAGGCGCTAGAAAAAATGGCATGCGGGCTCTGAGGTCCCAAGGAGTGTCCCTGGTATTAATGTATATTAAATTATTATTAAGAAAAATGTAATTTAGATATTATAAATACTAAAAACCTGTTGAAGTATGCTACGAAATTATGAAAATTATAGGCAACATTATTTTGCGTTGAGAAATCCAACTAAATATTGCACTTTTACCACGGATACTATATATGATTTTTTTCTGAATTTGTTATACCGTTTAAAAGACTTCAATTTCCAACGTAGTGTGGAAATTGAGACTCATCATTTTATTTGAAGCATTTCTACATTTAACATCGCTCTCTCTCTCTCTCTCTCTATATATATATATATATATATATATATATATATATATATATATATATACATATATGTTAAAGAAGTTAGTTTTGATGTTGAGAAATATGAGTAAGTTCTTCAAGGGCATACATCAAATAAAAAACAAAGATTTAGAAGTTAATCTTTAATTTTTCCAAACGTTTCGACATAGGATTTTGTGTCATCATCAGTGGATATAAATATGGTCTTACATCAGTAGCTAGCGCATGGCACATAATTTTGCATTATCATATATACACTAAATTGTTTTTTGTTTTTGTTGAACATAGTATAGCAAAATATTTGTGAAATATATAATATATTTTGCACGGAGACAGTAGTTTGTGCGAGCGTTTCCGAGGCAGTAATCAATTACTGCCTATTTATTTGGAAAATAAAGTTATCGCTATCAATTGAACCTAAATATTGCTATTTCTAATTGATATATCTCAGGCACATCTATAATATCAGTAACTATAATTTATAGTGCACAGACACTAGTGCTTGTGTGTCCTAAAACTAGTAGCTCATTATTTTAAATTTTAATAAACTGATAATGTTTGACTAATCACATCACAAAAGCAACTTGTGACACAAATTGTGACTATAATATTTTTTCAAATTTTGATGAATGCCGTAGAAACGTAAAATTTTATCAAACAAATTTTTTCAAATTATTTACGAAGAAACGGCTCGAGCGATCTTTGTCTAAAACTAATCAGTACAACTCCCAAATAATAACTTTCGAATATTTCTATCTTTTGAATTTTTAAAATCTATCTGTTCAAAATTTTTGGCTAAAACGTGGACGGAAAATTTTTCACTTTAGTGCTAAATTAAAAAAACGGCTCAGTCTATCGTATCAAAAATCTAATCGAATAAATGGTTTTACGATTTGAAGGCTTCTGAACATTTTGGCATACCTCAGAAAAAATGTATGTGTGTGTGTGTTTTGTATGTCCGCATTTTTTCGTTCACGTTTTCGTGCGCACGGATCAATCGATCAAAATGGTTCAAAAATTAGTTTTTGGCAAAGGCAAGTCCAGCCGTTACGGAGATACGGAGCAAAGAATGCAGAAATTAGAAATCGAGGTTTTGAGAGAACAGAGTATCCGATTTGAATGATTCAAAAAACTCTCTGCTTGCTTAGACAAAATAATTGCTTTTGGAAAAAAAAATTTTGTACATAGAAAATAAATCAGATTTTAATTTTAATTCTGGCTAAAGTTTTAAATCTCACTTATAAACTTTGAACAAATAACTTTATAATTATTAATATATAATTAATAATAATAAAAATTAATATATAATAACTATGTAATTAATTCAGTTTATATAATTCATATAAACATTAGACAGTGTTATAGTATTTATAATAATCCATTTCAAAACATTTAATATTCCTCGAAAATTTCGTTACTGTACGGAAAGTACCAGCAATTTGCTTTAAGACATGATGCAATACACAACTAGTTAAATTTTTAAAATCGACTCAACCGTTTTTGAAAAAACATCGATGAAAAGTCTAATTTTGACAAACGCGACAATTTTTTCAAACTTTGACGAATTTTCAATGTTAAACGAGTTGTCGCAGAGCCGTAATATTTTAGTATGATCTAGAAGACCATGATATCAATCGCAAAAAAATCGTAAAAATCGTCGAAAAAAATTTAACGGTTAATTACAAGAACACGTGCTTGCGAATTTTTATCAAAAACTAATCAGCCCAACCAATACCTGATTATTGAGTTTTTAAAATCGATTCAGCATTGCGGGCTAAAATATGAATGAAAAATTTCACTTTTCTGCAATTTATAAAGAAACGGCTTGGCCGATCATCGCACAAAACTGACAAATAATAGTCCTTATCGAGATACATCGAATAGCTTTTTAAATTTTTGAAATCTGTCCAGCCGTTTTTGAGAAAACGGCATAAAATCTGGTCTCATTCGATTCAGAAGGCTTAAAACGTCGAGAAAACATAAAATTATCGAATCGGATTTTTTTATGAAAACATAAACTGTTCATAACTGATAGTATCAGAATCTCAGTCACTTCAAAAGCCCCATAAATAACAGATGGAAATATGTGAAAGTAGTATTTATAGTACGTTTATGTAATTTCAAAGCAGAATGTGTACCTACATTCTATATATATTTAAATACATATACATATATATATATATATATATATATATATATATATATATATGTATATATTCTTATATATAAAATTCTACTGTAACAATGTATGAATGGTTAATTCTCCTAAACTATGCTTCGGTTTTTCATGAATCTTCCTGAAGTTTGTTCGGGAAATTTTCTAGAATTTTTTGATTCATAGAAATATAGTTAGATAGTAGAAATGAATGGAAAAAATTACAAAAAACCGCTTATCATTATTTAGTCAGAACATAATCTGACGGCTTGACATTTTCAATGCACAGTGCCTCGGCACCAGGTTTTGCATTACACTTCTTAGAATATTGCAGCCTCTGGCCTGTTTCATTCACACAAGGACTCTTTTTTTGTACCCAAATACTTCCTGTATGATCACTGTCCCCAGTGATATTTTAAATCAGTCTAGACAATGCAGCGGGACAGTCAACAAGTATATTCAATCACCGCTGTATTTATAATAGTTTGAAGATATTATATAGATTTTATACCCATCACAGTGTTTTTAATCAGTAAGATTTAAATTTGGAACGGTCATCGTCAGATAACAATTATTTACTTACAGTCCGCTTTATTATTAATTACTGATGGTAGCCAGCCCAACCATTGTTTCACCTTGAAAATATTCGAGGCATAGTTTGACATCAAAAACAAATGAAACTGTCATTTGCCAAACATCCATTCACTTATAGGCTATGTGCGAAGGCGTGGAAGAAGAAGTCAAATCGACCGAAGCATTCGTAGTGGCTACTTTAAGCATTAATTTAGGCTATTATAACCGAAATTTTAAACAAAAACACATAAAATATTTGTTTATTTCAAATTTAAATAAGATAATTAAAAATGCTGTTGTGTAGTGGGTTGTAGAAATACCAGCAGAAAAAGTGACTGCAAGTTCTATACATTTTCTACAGCTAAGAGGAAAGAAAACCAACGGGAAAAGTGGATCTCTGCGGTTAGAAGAATAAAGTATCATAACTTTATTGTTATAAAAATACAATTCGGAGTATTATGAATAGTTGTAAAATTGTCATGTTTAGCAAAAAAAAAAATTATAAGTCAATAAATTGTTATATTATCAAAATTTAATGCTTACTAGAACTTTTTTTTTGCAAACAATGTAATTATTACAACGCTGAAATAATGAAAAATATATATTTGTACATTGTATATTGATTATGTATAACTATTATCTATATGTATATTAATTTCATTTTATTATATAATAATTGTAATTTTATGATTAAAAGAAAAAGAAAA